GAAAACAGATTGTTTTCAGGAATAAAGAAGTGACGACATGTCTTCGTTGCCAGGCAATCGAGCAGATCATCGAGCAATCCCATGATAATCTGTGACAAGTTGAGATCAACCCAAAACTCCGATGGAATTCTCTCACAGGCCCATAGAAAGATGTTCTTTAAGTGATACGAACACAAAATGTTTGGCATCGTAAGCTCAGAGTAATAAATGGTTTTCAAAATGCGATAGCATTTGATTTTGAAAGCGTCCATATTTTTCATCAAGATGTATTCTGCCTTTGAAAAAGAGAATCGCCATTCTACAGACTTGCTTGAATGAAGTTCAAGTGGCTTGTAAACAAGGTGAAAACCCTCTTTCTTTATTTGGTGCAGTAAGGCTTCGTCTGGCCATTTTCTTGTTCGAGAGAAGAAGGCTTCCGCTTTAATCGGCCATCCACTACATCGTATCGACGGGCAGACGTCTAAGCTACAAAATCTGAAAGGTAAAGATTGTTTTGACTGCCACAGTTCAGTCTTGTGATCACAATTGTGCCCAACCGATTCGCTTGAGGTCTTGTCTTTGTTATCATATTGCACCTGCTCATGTCCGTTTTTTTCTGTACCGTTCAGGTTTTCGCTAAGATTTTCGAAGAATTTGTATAGCAGTTTCTTTGGATTTTGAAGCATCTTTTTATGGTAGTCCATACCAACAAATGCTTGATGTTCCATTGCCGGTCCATGAGGGCTAACCTGCATAGATCCAAAAAGTTCATGAATTGTGTCGATAAGACTCTGAACTAGGGTATTCTTGCTGTTTGTTATGGATTTTAAAGGACTGAAAGATAATTGTTCTCCAGAATTTTCAAAGAACTTTGAATTGGTTGGAACAATGTACAGAGTAGAGTGGTAATTGTGGTTGATTTCCTMTACTTCTAACGGAGCATCATCAAGTAAGCCGGTGATAACGTCGTTATAAAGAAGTCTGCAGTAACCTGGTTCATCGAGGACGTCCTCTAACGAGTGTATTACAATGTCGTGGGGGATGTGTGCAACCGATGTGAGGATGTCTATCTCGAAGCCGTTACGGAGTGCAGGGTGTACAAATGTTTTTTCTGGCATACTTCCACTCCAAAGCATATCTCCACCAGATAGTAAATCGCTCAAATCGCAGAAAAGTATCCCAAGTTTGCTTTCTTTAATGTCTTGCATGTGCGTATCGAGAGGATCGAAATACTCATCGATCAGTTGATTTAATTCAATCCATGTCTTCCCAGTGGTAAAATCCATCATCAATTCTGAATACAAGAACAGCACGGTTCACAAAGGCTCACATTTAATTTTCAATCTTAAATACCATGATATGATGAAAATGAAATGAAATTTTTCTCCAATTAAGGAAATGTGCCATCATTCGAAAGGAAAGCAAGAAACCTATAGCTAGGTTTCGAATTTTCCTTTCGAATTTTACATTTATGAACGGTGTCATCACCACAGCAAACCCATAACTACACATGGAAAGCCAATTTCATTGAAGAGGCTGTGCGCACTATATGGTGAAGAGGATGAGGAGCGTTCATACTCACCTTTAGGCCCGGTTCATACGTCGAGCCAGCGTAGCGCCGAACAAATAGTTTGAATTTAGCACATGAACAGCTCGACGTATGAATCAATTGAGTTCGGCGCGACCATAGCACGGCATTGGCACGGCAGAGTCAGTCGTGCTGCACGGCAAAATCTCGATGCTGATTCAAACGTCAAGCTATCGCCATGCCGAACTTAATGCACAAAAATATCTGTTTACGACAATAATAATGGATGTAAATTGCGTGTTCTTATGCTTTTGACTGAATTTGGTTCGATGAATCAGCACCGTACTGGATGTATTTGGGTCGACACAAATTGACCATTTGGTTCGCKGCGATGATAGCACGACGTATGAACCGGGTCATAAATAGAATAAAACTGTTATCGAGTTCTTGTCTTCTAAAGTGTGTTTGATACATATATATTCATGACACAATGACAAATAATTAGAGACTTAGGAATTATTCATTGATGTATATTTTTGACATCCTCTTCGCCAAGATTCTTTGCAATAGTTAGTTGTTTTTTAAAAAGGATGGCGATTTTTCGTATGTGAGAAAATCTCGAAAAGGTTCTGGGATGCACTCGGCTAAAACTCTACAAAGCATGGAGTGTTTTAGTTTCGATGATTGCTTCAATTTCGCACACGCGCGTGGATTACATGTCGCTGCCATTTGCAATTTGGCTCTTTGAAAAACTCTAAACGAATTTTCATTTTTCTCGTAATAATCACACCGGCAGTGAAATATAATTGTGAAAGATTAGTACTACCAAGAACATCATTTTTGTTTGATAAGKATGAAGTAATGATAACGATCAGACATTGTTATATACCGACCTTTAATACAGCAATACATAAACGTATATTTACAAGTATGTCCGTCTATGATACACGCATGATTAGACGCCCTCACATATAACTTACAAGGGAGGAATGCACCCCCCTTACTCCCTTACAGTATAGGGCATTAAAACACTCGARGTCACGTGACTGTGATCACTATAGACCCATTTTACTAAACCATAAATCTTTATATTAGCCTGAAGTAATCGAATTTACGATGTGGSCAATGATCTGGATTTCTGTTAAAATGGGTAATTTGGCTTGRATTCCTCCAAAGTGACTCGAGATATTGATTTCGTTTAGTAAAAGGTCTACGATTCCATATGATATTGAACGTGGTTCGCAAGAAATAAATATCATCCCGATAGCCTCTAGATAGTCGGTCATCGTTCGGGTAAGATGGACGAATAAAAATTCTCTGTTCAAAAATGTTATCACTCAAACTATCTAGAAACCATCTTTTAGTCTAATCTGTTCAGTGCGCTCGTTGTTCAAAGGGAGATTAGTCGGTTAATCCTTGGTTAATAGGTTCCATTAAATATAAGTATTATCTCTTATAAGGATTAACAGGAGGAAGTAGAGCATTTGAACAACTSGGCTCTGCAGGAGAAAATGATCTCGTGCATCTATTAGAGAATAGTTCAATGGGTAATCCTGGTTTAATAGGTACTATCACGAGGAGACCCATTTCTCATTACCACTAATGAAAGCGTTGAGCAAATGAGTCTTGTGAGATTTGATGTCACCGCCAACAGACATACAATACAAAATCCTCCGCGATGATTAAACATTTTTACCAAAAAAGGCCACGTCACGAGTCAAAGGCTAAAAAATTCAAAATGGCTGCCAAACTGATATCGCGAATTAACTGTTGACTTACTCTACAATATTTTACTTAACAATTTAGTTATCATTATCATATCATTATCATTTTATGATATCATTGATGCAAGCTGATTAGTTTTAGAAGTGCCTTTAGTCTAGAAGATAAAACAAGCCGCTGATGGTTATTTTATTCAATAGTGCAAAAGTGTGCTATTAATTATTAAGGGGATAGCAAAACTGCTAAATTAGTTTATCCTAAGCGTCTAGAATTAAAAGTTGACTTAAATTAGGAAAGAAATTGCAGTTCGTGGTAAATCTGTTTGGCTTTCCTGACTTCATAGTCCTTGAACAAGATACTTCTGAGAATTTCCCGCCAAACGCTTGGTGTATGCGCATTGCGTTATCGTTTCAATACCCTGTGTATGGTGAGCATTATGCCGAGAATAACATTACTCATTGCTGTGCAACCGCCCTCAGTACGAGTCCTATTCTCGGAGTGTTTAAGCTCGTTGTAAACAGTCTTTGAAATAGTACTGATATTTAAGTTGAGTCTCTCCGGCGAAATATTTCCCATATCTTGAGACTTTGTATATCATAAAATATGTTCTTAAATGCTTCTTTGAATTGTCTGTCGTGGAATGGGTATAAGTATGGGTTTAAGGCCGAGTTCAGATAGCCCATAACCAAGAGAATATGTGATACTTCTTGAGGAGTTCCATCAAAACATACATCTCCGCATATAGATACAGCTAGACTTAATAAGGTATATGGTAGCCAACACAGGAAGAACAGTCCAACGATAATTGCAATGTATTTCGACCCTTTTAAATGCTTTTTTATTGATTTCTTTGTCTGCTGTCCATCTGACATGGATGTTCCGCCATTAGCACCATTAGTCATTGTTAAGGTCATTGTCGTCTCATTCACAGACATGCTTCGAGCTAACTTCTTTACCCTTCTTTGGTGTTTTCTTGCTATTTGATAGATCAATGACCAACAAATTGCCATAAAAATCATTGGAATGAGAAAGTTGGCGATATTAATCAAGATTACGTATCCCTTAGTCAGGACAAAGACGCAGTTCAAGCCATTCAAATATGTGATAACGAAATATGGAAACTCTTTGCTCCTCCAGCCAAGCACAGGAAGACAGGCCGTAATCAATGCATACGACCATAATAGTATGATGGCGACCATGGCGCGTTTTGGAGTCATGAGTTCAGTATATCGTAGTGGTACTCTAAGAACAATAAATCTGTCAAGAGTTACTGCACATAGGTTAATGATCGAACCCGGGATGACTAATAGATATAATGTGGACCACATACGACACACGACCTCACCATGGGTCCATACAAAGTCCTTAATAAATATATCCAGTTCAATYGGGACCACTAACGCGGCCGTTAGTAAGTCKGAAAAAGCCAAGCTTGCGATGTAGTAGTTGGTTACACTGTTTCTTAGACGGTGATAACTGAAAAAAGCGTACAAAACCAATAGYTTGCCCAACAAGGCTGCGATGATGATGATCACCATGATTGTTGCTGAGAAGATTTTGAAAATTAGGTGATAGTGGAAGCTGAATTGMAGAGGGGTTGTACTGTTGGCTTGGACCAGCGACGCATTACCTTGACTCATTATGAAGTCTGAAAAAAAAAACACGAAAATTAGAGTTATGAAAAACGTGTTGACAGACTATAGACATATTTGGATATGATTATAGCATACATCAACTGCAAAATATATTAAATCACACCAATATCGATATGTTTTGCCTTGGCAGATATTTATTTCCATGTGAAATGCACTATTGCGAATACTGGTTGTCTTTGCAGCAGATGGAAAATTCCTCGAAAACTATAGGACTATCATTATGTATTACTGCATTATCTTACTTATTTCATACATTCAAGTTAAAGTATCTATTTTGATCTTTTGGCATTAGAAGACTAGAAGGGCTACCCTCTCTTTTRAGAGTCAACGACCTCTGCTTTATAAGCTGCGAAAAATCCCAATGATGATYATTAGAAAATAAAAATATCAAGTCCTGTCATAAACCAGCAGAGTGTTTTTAAGTCCCTTTGGAGAATCAGCCTAAAATAATATTGTACTTGTAAATGTCAATAGAAGATATCAATATTGTACGTTTTTGGATTTATGTACTTTTAGTACCGTAGTAGTATACTTACTGTAAGTTAACTTCTTCACATAAACGCTTCGTTTACTATTCTAAATACTCTGCGACTATCGAMTATACTATAAGACTGTCCAGATGTCGAAGCTTTATTTATGTTTTAATCCATTGAAACTCCTGTTTTAATGGCTAAGCTGTGGCAATTGTAATTACGCTTGAAGGACAACTCGTGATGTGGGCGGACACCACTCTCCTTGAATAATTTTTCGGATGTCAAACTGTTCTTTAATTTTTAAACCACGCAGAACTTTGTAACCTTTYCCGCATCATTCTACGGAATACATCTCTAGCGATCTGATAGTCCTATAAATGTTGTTTTAAAATCTAGCTATTTTATTTACATGATGTTGTGAATTTATATTGAAAGGTGATAATGCCYTTCCCTTATACAATACACAAAAGTACTTTTTGCGGTTTAATTGTTTGGTTCATCTCGTTTCAACCACGATCTTTATTAATTTTAATTWTAGAATTTAAAGTTTGTATTATAATAAGTTGCTTTCCTCTGCATGGCCAAGAATTTAGGATCGTACGCCGTTAATTTCAGACTATGTTAGCTGCTTTTGTATGAGGAAGGAAAACAGTCATGTTTTGATGTTGGTGTYTTTTACATACGGTTTCTTTGGCCATTAACTTTATTATAGCGATAGCCTCTTCCGTCGACATTTCCTCATGTATGCAAAACAATCAACACCGTTTCAAAACACCAAGATCCTCTTTCATAATAATACAAATGGTGGTGAATAAAGCTAAAAATAACTAATAACCGCCATTGGTAGTTTTTGATAAAAGTATCTATTTATCTATCTATCCTTCAAGTATTTGGCAAGTGTTGGTATACAAGTCACAAACTGCAAGATCTTTCAATATATATCGAAATTAAATGATAGAATATACATTAATGAATAAAAATGCAGACTGTTTTTTTGACTGAATCGACGGATTAAGAAACGTCCTTAATGGAATTATTTCGAACACAAAAGGCAAATACGTACTWAGTTTCTGTCATAGTTAGTAACTATAGTTTCTCTATAAAAACAACCTTTGTGAGAACTTGCTAAAACCTGTTTTTTTCTGATATAAAAAAGGTATAATAGAACCATTTCGTGACTTTGCTAATGAGCCCTATTTCATGTGACGCACTATGTGAYTGAACTCGTAAAACGTCTTTTCGAAACGATGAATGCATTTGAGAGAACTGCCTATAGAACACATTAGGTAATCTCTCTATGATACTTGTTCAACCACAGAGGAKCCACCTTGGCCCACAATAGGAACCAAGAGATAACTCAGGGTTTAAAGGATGCAATAAATGTACTGATTGTTATAAATGACGATCGCGTTTTTAATTTTGAGTGGACCTGCAGTCACACGCAGGGTAAAGAAAGTTGATGTCAATGTTAATGAACAGAATAATGTAAAAAATACGAAAAACCAAGGGTATATTAACCTAGACCACACCCAGTGTATTTCAATAAACGGAAAACAGATTTAATACAATTTACYTAATCTGTAAGTATAGCATGTTAAAAAAAGAAAAATCTGATATTAATGTCGGACTCTAAYAGTCAAGAAATGATTATAAGCTTCACTATTGCTGTATCTTTTAGTACTTCTASAATCACGTGCAAGTGACGTCAGTTTTACTGAGCGATTGTTTTTGTTTCATGAGATTGGCGGGAACCAGCGACGCCTCGGCAAACTGTTATCAATCATAGCAATCTAGTGTTATAACGCTATAATGCTTGATCAGACGTTCTGCTATTCACCGCGTCATTTTCAACAATCGTGTGGGATTAAAAGATATGTTGAATAAAGTGCTGGCTAGGAAACTTAGAATATCTAAGTATTTATCGATTTTTTCAAGGTTTATTACTTGGCATTGTTTAGCGGCTTATCGTATATCATCWATTTTGTTAATGTTTTCATTCATCTTTGCACAATTTAACTAGTTTATAAGAAAAACAATCTGTTCATTTCCTTACATTGTGCTTTTAAATATAGAAAAAGAATACTCATGTTAATGGAGTGCTTTTGGATGGGCTCATGGATCCATTAGAATTTAATTACAAAAAAATCTTTATTTCGGCATAACAATGTAATTCAAAAATAGAAACATTTTCCATTGAAAGAAGGCTAGTGTTTTTTTTTCGGTTTGTTTGTTTTTAGGTACATGTATTTCCAGTATTTCTTAAGAAAAAAACCGTTTTGGGGTTTCACCACAATGTAGTTTAAAAATAGAATGGACAGAAATTTTTTTATATGACATAGATGACAGGCTCTAGACTAACATATAACTACAGCTACAGTAGTGTCTGTTAGGTAATGGAACTTGATCTAAGTACCATAAATGTAACATACATTAAGTTATTTACTATCCAACATCATACGATCATAGTAATGGCTTCTTGATTGTTTGCACTCGCCAAGGTCATCTTTTCTCCTGATCGAATGTTCCAAACTCATTGATTATTTTACACGATCGAACATTCTYACCTCGTTAATTATTTTACTAAAATGATCAAACGTTCTAGAATTGACTTCATATATTAGTATATWGATGTTTACACAGACTATGCGAAGGTAAAATCGAATCGATCACTCCAAAACAAATATTGAAACTGACATTTCCGAGGAAATGTGAAGAATTTTTTAGAATAGTGAGAATCATTACAGAAACATATGAGATATTTTTCTCTATGTCCGTAAGAACTATACTATTCACTAGTGTATTGCTACATCTTTGTGATGGCATATATTCAAAGAGATTCGCTGATGAAATATAATTGATTGAACATATGTAATACACTACAGCMTAGTACACATTATTACTCAAAATTGAGTAAACTATTGGAAAGATGAGAAYAAAGAAAAGGAATAAGAAAGCATAACACAAGGGTCAATAAGTGACTCTTTAGGAATAAGGATAAAATGATTTTTTAATTAATAGGTTTTGAATTGTACTTGTTGAACCGAGACTGCTYGTTTCATTCATCATCTTCATATCTCAATTGTATAAAAGCTTAATCTGGCACCTAATCCAACTAATCTAGTAATGSCGTTCTTTCATCGAAAGTCGTTTGCATGCCGTTGAAGAAAGAACGAACTTTGAAAGATTCATTAGCCAAGCGATACATGAAAGAAACATGTTTTTTTTCTTGCAAGTTCTATTTTTTAATATAGTGAATAAATGCAACGCCCATAAGTCAAAATATTATGACATTTGACTGTATTTTGCAGCTCCGTTTATATTTTATGATTTCCGACTCAAAACGACAACACTGTGATGTTTGAACTTTTCCTTTGAACTGGCCTCTTAGCCAAAATGCCATCTTCTATTACTCTGCTACTATGTTTGCAGTACTCTTCAGTGTCGTTAAGATGCGCTCTATAATAGTTAACAAGGGCAGCTTTGCTATGCACTCAAAAATCGATCTTACCTAATGCCCGTAAAAGGTGAATCCCTCCAACAATTAGCTAAATAGTATTTAGTGTAAATTTAGCTGCGGGCAGCGAATCTGAAATTGGCGGAACAAATTGAGAGAATCGTTTGCAGACAGCTTCTTAATTTTACGGATGAAGGAAACGTCAAAGTACAGAAATGAACACACTCGTCATATATTAATCTAGTACCCTAAGGACCTCGACATCATTATGCAAATAATCTACTTTCAGTTAAAAACTTAAAAAGACTCCAAATACCTCTATACGATGCAATTCAGGAGGTGCTGTTATGAAATCACAACTGACAATTTACTTATTTACAACAAAATTCATAAGATTCGAAGTATGGAAGTGTGTTCGTTCATTGGTTGGTGAAGTTTTGTTCCTCTCAGGAAACGCAAGCGACGTGCGAGAGATAGGTCTTTGTTTAGAGCATTATTTAATGGACTCGATATGTTTATTCAAAGGGAAATATCCAATTTGCATACGAATGTTGACAACTTCATCAGTTGAGCTTTGTCGACATGGCAAGGGGTTACTCTTCAATGGTTTTCTAACCCGCTATAAGTCTTCACTCGTGTTTAGTGAAGGCATGTGTACTAATCGTACAAGACATCAAGTCAACATTTTGTTTCTCTGTTACATGTTTATCTTTACAATTCAATTAAAACCATCCATCTTATCTTTCACATTTGAAACACTTTCGGTGATGCAAAGCAAAAATGTGAATATATACCGCCAATATCTAGAGAAAAAACTGTTATTTTTTCTACTAACGTTAAGAGATTATAAGCGATAAGACAGGGACTTGAAATGCCTCGCGCTAAACATTGTGTCAAAAAGAAACGTTCAAGTTCTTTCCTAGCTTTGCGCAATTATAAAACAATATTTCTCGTGTCTTCCATACTTATTAACTCTAAATAAACTACGTACAAAGGAGAAAAGAATTTACCTTAGGATGTAATCTTATGGATCATGCCAGTATGAAGATGACTGTAGCGTGTCTACCCTGTTTACCCTTTCTAATGGGTTTTTGCTCTTGGAAACCAATAAACACGCTTAATTCTAAGGTTGATCATTCAAGTCAAGATGTTTGGCTTGCCCAACTTGTCTTGATAATGGATAGCAAACGCGCAAATACCCATCAGGTAATCCAGCAAAAGAGGTGTGGATTGTACTTTTTCTAATTGACTTTTCTCAAACTTGTAGTTGTAAAGAAAAAAGCTCTTATTTTTTGACAGTGGATGTAGCAGATTGAAAATGAGTTCGTTAAATGACTCCACCGCACTTTCTGTAAAGCGGCTTTGGTGTTTCAAGACCGACTAGTGATTTATGATAATATATCGTCTATTAATCCGATTATCTTCAGTTTGTTACAAACCTTCAAAGAGACAAAAAAGCGGTGCAGAGACAACTTGGCTACAACTCAAACAATATGCAATTTGTTTGTAAAGGTTTATTCTAAGGGTTATAACAACAGTAACTATTATTTATAGGGATATATATGATAAAAAATACAGTTTTCGAATGTTCTTGATCGAAATATTTCAAAACGATATTCGTGCTAGAAGAAATGGCATTGAAAGCCTACTTCCTTGGTTTTTCAAAACAAAACTTTAATGGATCGACTATATATACCGGCTTATCACCAAGAAAGCAAAATATCTATTCTTGACGTCTTAAATACGATATCGCTTTCCATTGTAAAATCGACGAAATATTTACTACAAGTGTATAGTAAATTACATCATTGGAAGGAGTTTTTCCTTTGAAAGTAATGCAGAAAATATATACATTATCAGACATGTTGAGTTCCATATGCCAAAATTAGATATGTAGGATTTTGTCACGTTGTATAAGATATGATATCGCTACGAGATCGCCATCCGCACGAGGTTATTAATTTTGATGGCAAAATCATCGTAAAAAGCACGACTTTGTTAAGTGATGGCAATCGTGAGTCAGTTAAAGGGTGAGGTAGTGGGAACGAGCCTAAAAAGGAACTACAGCTAGAAACAAAATGATATCTTGAAAAAGTAAGCGGTCTAAAACAGTAAAAGTAAAAAATAATGACTAGAAAATAATGACTGGAGAATATATTACTAATATCGAAAACATAGCAGCACAAAACAAAGATAATAAAATGAATTAGTACAAAAAAACGACAGACATTCGAACGAAGAAGGGAGAGACGACAAGCACAATGATAAGCGATTTTATAGTAGAGAAACGAAATGGGATGGAGGTAATTGTATCAGTGCAAAGTGCCTTTCTATACAACTGACTAAAGGTTATTGACAAGAAACCTCCTCGTATGCAAACATAAATGTAACTTTAGCGGAAATTGATTTTTTTTACAAGCTTAAACAGGACAAAAAGAACAAATATTTGTGGACAACAATGTATCTATTGTTAATAGATGTTCAGCAATAAGTTTGTACAGCGGTATTTCAGCGACGCGCGGTAATGACGATCGTTTTCTCATAGGAAGACCAAAATAGAATTGTATTACACCTAAAAGAGATGAATTCCTACATCAGTTATTAGAGATATGTTACTTTTATCCGAACGAATAGCAAAATAAAATAAAACTATTTCACAAACCGTATTATTGTTGAAATCGACATGTAGAATGAAAACGTGATGGGCCCAACGAGCACCCGAGCTCGCGTTTTCAAACGGCAACTTTTAAGCCTCGGGCGGTTTTCCCTTGGGGCGATTTTCTGGAGAGACTTCGATACTCCTTGATGTTATAAGAAGGCGGGTACGTGCTTGCTAAACTGATTCAAGGAAATACAGTGAAAGCACTGAATCGAATGATTCTGACAATTTTAACTCCGACCTGGGAATATTCAAGTAAACATTAGATGCGGCGAATACTTTTGTAACTAAGCAGAATTTAAGAACAGGATTTCCAAATTTATCGAAGTGAAGTTAAAGAAAGCAAATGTACTTACAGTTTAAACTAAATAACCTTGGTCTCTTCTACGAAGTTCAGCTTAATATGTACATCTAAGACAACCAAACATAACGCTTTTATAATGAACAAACAATGGAGAACGTAATTGCGCGGATGAGGGGAAAATCGTCGAATATCGAATTAGAATCAGCATCCGATATAGCAATTCGAGAACGATCGTTTCTATTTAGTATTATTAAAATCTAAGAGCAATTTCAAAGGATAACCGCTGTTAATGTTCTATCCTGTTTTATTAACTTCGGCTTTATTTACCACTCAGTTTCTTTGAACAACACGCCCTGTATTAAAACACCGAAAGAGCTTTTGTTTAACACGGTTCATCTGGATAATGTTTTAAGTTAGATGTTATTTTTTATTTTTCAATTTTTCACTATACACCGATTTGTTTTGGAAATTTCGAAACGGATCATTGGAAGAATAACGTGTCCTCAAAGAATCTGTCCTGATTTGTTTTTCAAAACTTGAAACCGCTAGTTATTTTCAGCCATTGATGTCGTTAGGATGCTACAGCATTAGACAAACAAGAAAGTTAATTATTGCGGAACAAAGTTTTATCGCCTCTTTTTCCTTGAATTAGCGTTGTGGCTTTTATTAATTTTTTTTTCTGTGGAAAATGTCTTGAAATGAACACTTACCTTTATTGTTCTTATTAAGATTATGAATTATCATTATGATGCTGATGATAATAATGATTTAATAGTATATTGACTATTATTAGAATGAAGATACATATTGTCAATGTGAATAATTCTTCGTATGACAAAGCAATTCAACTTTAAATTATTACAGATTCGGTTTTATCATGATTTGCCCTTAATTTTTGCGGTTATTTTTTGATATTAATAATTGATTTTATAAGATTTATTAAATTACTATTATTAAAATCCTCATAGAATTATTAATGAGTAAATTCTGTAAAAAGCACTTCTTCTGGTCTATATAATGATAAAAGATAAAACCAAGACACTTATTGTAATTGTGCTTCGTCACTTAACCTTAAGAGTGAAGTCTCCAATGCAGCCCCTCCTTTGTATCGTCAAGATATACTATGTGGTAGCACTGAACATCAAAAAGCATTTTACACGAAAAAGACTTTCTTAAGTAGACTTAAAAGGTTCAAATAGCGTCCAGGGATTACACTAATGCAACGCTTAAGTTAACTTGTATAATGTACACTAACAAATTGAACGAAATCTTAAAGTAAAGGAAGGATAACGAAAAATATAAAAAGAAAACATAACAACCCAGGTAGATAGCTTTACATGCAGCTCGTTGGCATGGCAACTAGGTGAGAACCATAATTCCATAGTATCTAGTACAATATCTCCATGACAGCAGTTTCCAGCACGGTTGCTAGACAGCGTACTTTGCGACTTGTCCCATGGCAGACAAAACTCTGCTTCAATCTTTGCACGTTTGGCAAGTTGTGACAGTTTGTTCCTGAATTTCACAATTCGAAATGTTTTATCACGATGAGGCACCCATACAATTACATCTGAGGCTCGCGTTCGTTTACTTTGTACGAATTATACATGCATTCTTTTCTGATATGAATAACTGTGATAGAAAGTCAATATAACGATAAAAATCACATTCTAAATCGCTAAAAATAGTTTGCGATCGAAGTACACTGACATCAAGCAAGACAAGAACATCTCGACAAGAAACAATCAAAAACACTGAAATTGTGCATCGTTTTAAAGGGATAACTACACAGAAAATCACAATAATATATAGCCGGAACGCATTTGTTGTTTTATATTAAGTCGGGAAGTTTGTTTTTGCAGTAAAAAGTACAAAACAACAACAGAAGCAATTAAATGCTATTATACTGCTAAAAACACAAAACTGATTCACAAAACAAAGGAACAAGAAAACATAACACTAGGTAGAAAAAGAGGGAAGTTGTAGAAGCGGTCAAAATATTGCCCAAATTGCTTTGAAATATTCCGCTTATAATATCAAACAAATATTTAACATGGAAAATGCAATATTAGGTTGATTCATGTTAAGACATTAGAACAATGAAAATAGAAGTGTACGTTGCGCGGTAAATCTTTGATGTTGAGGAACTAGGATTTCGGTTTATTCAGATAAAATTAGCACAATTAAGGAATGTTTAACAAAACCCTATATGAAAATCGTATTAGTAACAGAGGATTCCTAATCTTAAGAGAATCATAATCTGTAGAAATTTCAACTGTATTTTGATTTACTAGAGCTGATAAGTTAGTTAGAAGTGCAGTTAGTGTGGTCTTCAGTAGTCAACTTACGATAGATGGGCATATTGGCGACTTGTTTGACAGAAATGGCGTCTACATGGACAAAATAACAAACGAACGAAAAACAAAAGTGAATAAGAAGATGGAAAAAGGATGAAATGGGAAACTCATATATAAACGTCAACCTATACATTAAACAAGACATAACTATTTTTTTTTGTAGTCTTGGAATAAAACTGTGTATCATCAACAAAAGAAAATAATGGCTAGACTATTGTAACTTGCTAATTAAACTTCGCCGAGAAGCCCTTCTTGATACAGAGTCGTGATTTCACTTTGCATGAGACTTATTATATGAAAAACATTTTCAGCTGCAAAATATTGCTTGATATTGTACACTATATACCTAAAAGCTATCGTCTACGTTCATCTCTTTTTCTATATAGTTTAATGATATACTAATATATATAGAGAGTGCTTTTTCAGTGATGGGAAGAACTATTTCGCAATATACAATCTTAGCACAATTTAAATAAACCGAAGCTCTTAGCGTGAATCGTAGTAGTTAACCCAGTAAAGTGTTACTTTAGGAACAAAATATGTCATTGAAGCCTGTCAAAATTGAACCATCAAACTATAATAAAAGTTAGAATCACAATTGCGTCAAAATGATAGGATAAGATAGATTTTAAATTAAACAAATCAGTAAGACTTATCTATATTCCACTACAACGATCAATCTACAGATTTGCAATTAAAATAAAATAGAAAATGAGTGGAAAATAATGGGGCTTTTCAAAAAAAAAACACACGAGGATAGGATTATCTCCCAAGTACGTAATACCTTAATTTAGATTCATACATACCCGGACTAATCCGCCATGCATCCCCAGTCTCACTGACAAACTGAACCTGCTCACAATGATTTACCTTTAAAATGTGCAGTTCAAAGACGAATATGACAACCACAAGAATTAGATTAATGGTCTTTAAGTACCGCACAAGCAGTGTAAACGTGTTGACGTTCTTGCCGAGACATGTAGATGATATTGTTACAAAGATTTCTGATGCTTCCGATGCTCAGCCAATTACCATTGTAGCTACGTTGATATTGAAATGGTGGCATTTTACCGTTCTTGGACAGTGACAAGTCGTTTATAGAAGCAAATGGGAGTTGTCTTAGCCCAATTTGACATCCACGGGGTTCAGTGTGTCACGCAGAAGGAAATAGAAAATGCTAATTGTTAGTGTGGGGAACACACCTGCAGTATATTTCCTGTAGTTTGAGTTCGCAAATCAATCAGTGTAATATTGTCAGTTTGCTTTTTATTCAATTAAAAAAACCTTAAGGATGCACATAAAGTCTTTTTTAATATCATGTAATTTGATGCAGATTTGTTAATTGTTTTACGAGAAGAATTACAGACGATAAGTCTTTAATTTTCACGTCTTTTTTTATACAGTCGAACCTTTTACTTAAAATCTAAATATGGCAATGGGTGCGTATAATTCCCACTTTTGGCCTCTTTTTTCATGATACTTAAGAAAGAACGACTGTAATTTGAAATAATTAGATTCTAATCCTAAATTACGTCGTAGTAAGAGAGCAAGCTGGAGGAATATTTATTGAATACCAAACAAAAACAGTCACAATACCAGCATGTCAGAGTCAAAAAAATAACAGTTGACATACGATCCCTACGTGCGAGCCAAAGTAACAATAAAACTCTCAGTAAGCTTCAAATCTGTTTGACAAACACTTTCCAAGTATACAGTACTATAGATCAATTACCGATGCAACATATTATTGGACCGTTACTTTACACGGACAGTTCTCGAAAAGAACGTCACAACTGTCTTGCTGAAATGTCTACATAAGTAGTTCTACTATGATCTACGATCTTAGCGTTGCTTTCATCCTACTTGATGTCCTTGAAATGCGAAGTAAAAGCAATTATTGAAAAGGCAATTAGTAGATATCACAATGTTTTGTGCTTTTTGTTATATGTTGTTATAAGTTTGATAGAGTGCTCGTTACATCTCTGCCATTTCATAGGATGCGATACGGAAAATGAAATGAAAGCTTGAATAAAACATGTGAGCACATAAACGAAAGGAAAGAACATTCATCCAAGAGAGACATGTGTTGAATTCACTACTTACCCCAATTCTTCGTTTCAGCGGTCAACATCAACTCCCTTTACTCGTTAAGACTATGTGAGATTTTGAAACACCCATGAACCCATTTGGTTAATTTTTTATTACCCAGTAAAGTTTCCTATCAAAGGTGTAAATCTCTCTCAAAATGGATATCGTATTCATTTCTGCTGCAACACGAGCAGTATTTTCCACACTGATATCATAGTACGTTTTTGAATATATATTGTAATGTTTGAGATCATATTTGGTCATGATTTTTGACCAATGTTATTGACCCTTTTGTCACCAGATATTCACATATGAACGTGATATTTGATAGTACACAGTTGCATAAACCAAAAGCCACAAAGACGATGGAAAAGGCAAAGAAAAGTTATCAATTTCAACATATGTTTAACGTAAGTATATTGTACTTATTGACTCGCTGTAGCAATATCACTTGAGGGATATCACGTGACCTTTGGCACTTTATTCTTTGTTATTCAATAATATTAGTTTGATGATAAGAGCGATATTCTGAAGGAGGTCAGGACAAGGTATTAATTATAAGGAACGAACAATGATAAGAGTTAACCTACCTATTACTGCA